ACCATGCGGCACATAGTAAGTAGTCACTGAAGAAATGAATTAGTGAATTCACGATGGCCTCCACAGACAGGAAAAAAAAAGGAGTCCGTATGATTACATACATCAGGGATAAATGTAAAATTCTATATTGGCCTTCAAAAACCTGTTGATACACAACGGGAGGCCTTACTTAACAAGTCTGAGCAGAAATAATCTAGTTGTTTATTCCGAAGTATAATTAGGCTGATGCCAACCTACACCAGGAGTATGATGTCCCGATGACAGGGTTGGGGGGTAGCATAATTTAATCTGCCCTGGCATAACATATATGGACTGTTCTGTCTAGCAATGACAAGAATAAAAATCGCTATTTTTCTGTGCACATTTATTGTGTCCTCGCGTTGTTCTAGAGCTCTCTCTGAATCAATGAATTCACTGACTAGGTACCACTAATATCCTCACTTTATAACTGAGGAACCTGGGGACTCAAATCTGCCATAGGCCACGAGGTAGCAACTGGCGGTGATGGGATCCAAACCCTGGTCTGCCTGACCCCAGAGCACCTCTCCATTAATGGATAATCAAGATAGTAAAAGCCCTGGAAACCGTATCAAATGAGGAAAAGTTGAAGGGATTGGAGCTGAGGGGTCTGGGAATAACAACTTTCTTCAATCATTCAAGGCATTTTGATGGAAAAGGTCTGATTTGACTTTACAAAGGGGACAGGTCTAGCACCAGTGCATACAAGCTACAGGAAGACAGATTTTGACTCAGTGAAAAGAGTCAAATTATTATTAGTTCAGCCTCACAATGGCCCAGATTGCTTCGTAAGGCAGTGAACCTCCAACTGAAAACTTCTGGAGGTTTGATCCCCATTGGTCAGGCGTATTCTGAGAGAGATCTCTTCAGTAGAGATTGGACTAAATGTCTCTTAAGTTCTTTCTCCAACATCCCATGATGCTATGAAAGTTGGGATCAGGCAAGAAAAGAAGACATTACGTTTTTAAATAATACTAAGGAGTGAAGCCGTTAACAAAATAAACCGAGGTTTAAATAATAATAGTGTCTATTCTCATATATTAAGTGAAATAAGAGTTGTTAGTGACAGGTTTCATAAAATAGGAGCAGCCTTGGCGGTAAGCTCCTTGAAGGCGCGTGGAAATAACACGCTGTCCATCTCTGAGTCCCTGAGTCTTTGCATTTAATAGGAGCTCAGTAAATATTTGTTTGCCCAACTGATTGGATTCAGTTGTCAATCAGAATGGGCACAATGTGAAAAAGTGGCTTTCCATTCACCACCAACCAGGGACATTCCTGAAAACTGCTTGCTACTGACTAATGACAGTGAACACTGGTTGCCTCCAGGAGAAGAGGAAAGCAGGAAACCAACAAGACAGGCACATTTTTGACAATGATGTGAAAGGGAGGTGTAAAGGCCCAGGCTGGGGACACTGGAGTAATCCTTTTGGCTCCACTATAGACCTACTCTGTGATCTCGCAACAACCCACTACTGCTTATAATGCCTCCACGTCTGCGGTTAGAAGATGGGGGTGGAGGTGGGGGGCGCGCCTGGGGGTCTCAGTCAGCTGGGCGTCCGACTTCGGCTCAGGTCATGATCTCGCGGTTTGCGAGTGCGAGCCCCGTGTCGGGCTCTGTGCTGACAGCCCAGAGCCTGGAGCCTGCTTCCGATTCTGTGTCCGCTCCCTCTGCCCCTCCCCTGCTCATGCTCTGTCTCAAAAATAAATAAAAACGTTAAAAAAAATAATAATAATAAAAAAGAAGATGGGGGTGGGATGGGTAGAGAGAAGAGGAAGGACTCCCGCTTTCAGGGGGATAAAGAAGGGAAAAAAGACAAGCAGATGAAGCCATCCGTGGCTTATCCAGCTGCTCTCTACCTGGTTTCCCACTCTTGCCCCATTTTCTTCTTCATTTTCATATCTGTTAACCCCCGTCTCTCTCCCCCACACCCAAGGCAGTGAACTAGAAAAAAGCAGAGATGCCGAAACTCAGAACCCTCTGTCTTGCTTTAGTCAAAAGCTTGGTGGGAAAAGGAAGTTGGAACTAATGGCTGAAGCCAGCGTTCTAAAGTAGTCGTAAATTGCAGTGACTGTGCTGCTTGCTCCTTTTGTCCTCCAAGGTCACGGATAATTGAGTGTTGGCTTGGTGTATCTCCCGAGGGCTAAGGCATCTGAAAGGAAGTACTCTAGGAGATGTGAGGAAGTCAGAAATGGCAGCTATGTAGGACCCTCTGTACACGCCTAAAGACCCGGGAGCCATATTGGGGCTGTGCCCAGCTCTCTCAGCCTTTGACCAGACCTGCTGTTGACACTCCCTGTGCTAAAACATAAAACAGCCTTTCCCTGTCAAGTGGGCCAGGGTGACACAGTGAAATGACAGCGGACTTTGTTTTGGCGTCAACTGGACATTGGTTTGAATCCTAGCACTACCCTTGCGTGTTTGTTTGACTTTACCCCAAGTTACTTTATCTCGCTGAACTTCAGTTTCCTCATCTGGCAAATTTATATAATAATGCTAAAACTGGAGGATACCATAAGGACGGAATAAAATGGAGTACGTAAAAGGCTGAAATAATCGTTTCTCGCTCTCTCTTTTTTCAAATTTAGAGAGGGGAGATGGGGGCAGAGGGAGAGAGAGAGAAAGAGAGAGAGAGAGAGAGAGAGAGACTCATCAGCAGGCTCTACACTCAGTGCCGAGCCCAACAAGGGGCTCAATCCCATGACCCCGGGATCATGGTCTGAGCCGACTGAGCCACCCAGGTGCCCCCGTCTTTGAAAAATCTTTTTTCTCTTTTCCCCCTAAAAGAAACTGCTACATTATGTTTCGGAACTTCTAACTTTCTCAGGAACCTGGAACTGCAATTAGAGAAAAGAGTATGTTGGAAAGAAGGTGTAAGAAGAAAAAGAGCAGTACGAAAATCACGGAGTGCTCACGTAACCACAAAAGGGCCACCTATTTTGGAAATTCAGGACTCAAAGATAAAGACGCAGAAGGTGAATGAGGTGTAAGAAAGAAATACGGCTAAGATTTAGCCTTTGGGAATCAGTGGGAACCAGTAGCTAATGGGTGTGATCTGTTTTCTGGATGCTTCCCCTGCTCTGATGTCTTCTTTCTGATAGTGAGGTGGGAGAGCTCATTGGGTTCTGTTTCCACGAACCCCTTACCGGGGAGCGAGAAAAGCCATTTCCTACTTGGATTACGGCCCCACCCTAAAAGCTGTAGTCTGGATGCTCAAGATTTCTGGGTCGTCGGAGGGACAGACAGGCTGTCTTAGGGGATGTGAAGGAGCCCTTGGCCGGCAGCGACGCTCATCCAAGCTGGGGTAGACGTGAGGGAGGAGGAGCAGGGCAACTCCTCGATTTTTGGCCCAGGAAGTCTGCACACCTGGCCCATTTTGGAGGAAGCCCCACAGAGGAAAACACTTGCGCGCCCAGCTTGTCTTTCCCTTCTTCCTCCCATTTTCCACTCCACTCTCCGCCCCTGGGCTTGCAGCCGAGCCGAGAGCCCAGAGGCCCGGGTCGGGGGCCAGCCGCTCCGAGGTGACGTAATGCCTTCCCGGGTACACAAAGCGGCCTCCCCCGGGCCCGGCCTCCCCCGCCCCTCCCCCCCGGCCGGGCCCGCGCCCCCGCCAGCGCCAGCGCGGTGAGTCCCCCTCTCGGAAAAGCCAGCCAGGGAAACAGGGAACAAAGGCCCGGGGAGAGGGGCCTGGGCGCTGCCAGGAGGCCCAGAATAGACATCACGTCATCCCCGGCTCGGCAGCGCCAAGCGCCATTTGGTAGCAGCGGACGGACCCACCATTACGGTGCAGAACCGCGCTCGAGGGCCCTCGGCGGCCGCCAGCCCCGCGCCCCGCGCCCCGCCGGCCGGGCAGCGGCTCCC